AAAAGAGCCAGTTTGATGTAGTGGTTAAGGCATGGAGTTAGAAACCAGAAGATCGTGGGTTCTAGTCCTGACTTAGGCACAAAATCAACTGGGTGATCTTGGCCCAGTCACTTTCTCTCAGCCCTAGGAAGGAGACAGTGGCAAATTACTTCCAGACAGTTGCCAGGAGGCAACAGTGACTCAAAGGCAAATAAATAATATACATTAAACCTATATTTGTTTGTTTGCTTGTTTTTCCAACAGGGGTATAAAGGCAGAGGTGGTATTCAGCAGGTTCTGACCAGTTCTGGAGAACCAGTAGTGGAAATTTTGAGTAGTCCGAAGAACTGGCAAATACCACCTCTGGCTGGAGACTTTACAGTATCCTTCCCTTCCACGCCTACCAAGCCACGCCCACAGAACCGGTAGTAAAAAAAATTGAATCCCACCACTGTTATAAAATCACCATGGCTGCTTTGCCGTTGAACAATCATGGCACATATTAGTGAATTCACAGCTTCCATCTTATTTTGTTAATGCAAATAGAACACTTATTGAAAGAGCTGGTTTAACTGTGATTTCCAGGAAATGTGCAAATTAAGTATATAGTTCTTTGAACACACACACACCTTTTACCCCATCACACTGACTACTGTAGTCCTGAGTCTGAGAAACTGTCCCTCAAGGGAAAGCTCCCAATTTTAGGATCATTTTAAAAAAATGTAATTTCCAGTCAAAACACTTCAACTAAACTGCTGTCAAATCTGCAATGACATGGGTGCTCTAAAGGGTGTTCCCTCCATCTCTAGATCCAGTAAATCCCAAAACCAACTTCTGATTGTGAACAAATCAATAAATAACTTTTGTTTTGTTATGTGTAATGGTACCAAGGCTAAGTAATAATTCCATTTTATTATATGCATTAATACAATAGCCATACTATACAAAACCAGATTGACACAGATTCAAAAATAATTTTATATAGCATTGTATGCACATTGTGAGTCCAATTCTTTCCTTGGCAAGGATGCTCACACCACAGCTGCCATGCCAAAAAGTGTAAATTCTGGTGACTTGTACTCTCTTGATCTTGGTCAAGGCACTGTGGTTAGAATGCAGTATTGCAGAGTTCAATCCTGACCAGCTCAAAGTTGACTCATCCTTCCGAGGTCAGTAAAATGAAGACCCAGATTGTTGGGGGTAATATGCTGACTGCATAAACTGCTTAGGTTTAGAGAGGGTTGTAAAGCAATGTGAAGTGGTATATAAGTTTAAGTGCTATTGCTATTGCTGTTTGTTGACTCCTCTAGATAAGATCAGCTTCTTGTCAGCTCTTTGGCTCTGCCTAATCCTGGTCCATTTTCTCAGCCACCACAGAGCGTGTTCTTCTGGCTCTTTTGGTCTCAATCATCTCTTCAGTTGAGGCATTGAGTTCTTTACCCACTGAGCCACTGTTCTTGAATTCCATTTATAGCCAGATACATCAGCAAGGCATGTGCAGAGCAAAAACCACTGAGCATTTTATCTTACTGCTTACTCACAAGTATTTTTTGTCACTTACTTTCTATCTTACATCCCTGTTGTCTTATCTCTGACTCATGAGTAAACTTATCTCAGTTTAAAGCTTTATCTCTCCTATCTCCCTTAGCTCTCTTTTTTTTCTCACTCTCTTAAATCTCAGCCACTGCAAAGAGGATAGCCTGAATGCCACTGATTGCCCACTGTCCCTGTTTAAATGATTACTTCTTGCTAGATAAGCAGAAGCTGCTAAAAAATGGTGTGAGGAGAAAGAGAAAACCTATGCAATTGTTGACGTATTACTACAAGGAACCAAAAGAGATGCTAGCCAATCAAGAAGACTTAGCATAAGAAGTGAAAGAAGTGGGAACACTGGTCTTTTGTAATTAAAAGATGGAAATTTTGCCACGGTGCAGATTTTCTAAAGGCCGTCCAAGGTTTTTTGGTATAGCACCCATTCTGCCAATTAACTACAGGGACCACCACTGGTGGTTTATGGCATTATCTTCATTTTTTATTTTCAGATTTTGATACTTTGTTATCTTATTCTTTATCTTTGATTCTACTCTTCCCTGATATTGCCACATCAATTATCTACACTTTCTTCTTTTCAGTTATAATGATATCAGGTGTCTTATGAGCCAAGATTTCCATACCTAGAAATCCCACAATATTTTAATATACTCACTTTAATTACTGTTCAACTATATGTTCCCACCACATTTTTTACTATTGGCACATGATAATTTTCATAGATGTTCCAATGAATCATTTTGGAGGCTGTATTATGTTGTTTATACTCACTTTGTGCAATCCTCTTGCATGAACTGGTCATAGGATCTACTGTTTCTTCTGCTTCTTTGCACATTCTACACTTTAAATCATTTGAATTTAAATTAAATTTAGGTTAAATTAAGGTATTAAAAATACTTCAAGGTATTAAATCCAGTGAATAGAAAGGGAAGGAAGTGGAGACTTTTAGAGAAGGGCCATGTATATTACAGCATTCTTAAAACAGTGAAACAATCTGTCACTTCAAAGTACAAGACACAGAATAATTGGTTAAAATTATAGGAAAGCTTTTAAAGGGGCTTTCTAACATTCAATAAGTTACACAGAGCATGTCATGAGGTCCTCTTCACTGGATGCTTTTAAATGCATGATAGACAGCCATCTGTTAGCAATGTTTTAATTTGCATTTTTGTACTGAAAAAGTTTGATAGCTTAAATAACCCCTTCTAGTTATGTGGTTTTATACATTAAACTCTAATAAAGGTCTTGTTTGCACTTGTAATATATACAATCATGTATTCAGCTATGCTTTGATAAGAACAATATTCCCTTTGGCCCCATGATGTTGTAAATTAATTATATGTGGCTGGAATTTCCTTAGGTGGATCACAATAAGCACCAGTTAAAGCCAGGGTTTAATCCCAAATCTTAAGCTTGGCTTCCAACCTTTGTTGTTGTTGTTGTTGTTGTTGTTGTTGTTGTTGTTGCTGCTGCTGCTGCTGCTGCTGCTGCTGCTGCTGTTGTTACTACGGAAAGTCTTGCTCAAATCATTTGGCCACGCATGTAGTCTATTTAGATTGCCTCCTGGAATAATAAAAGTCCTTCCTGGATATCCAAAATTACTTTCATTATCCATATCAGCAACAATTCATTTGCCACGGAAACTCAAAGATAGCACAAACTTAGATTTATTACTAATAATTAAAACCTGGCCATTGCTCAAATGATTTGTAGTCATTAAGAAGCATGCTTAACAGTTAAAAGCAGATTAATTTATTTTCTCCTGATATAAGCTAGTGCTGTAAGAACCATTGTATGAAGTCAAATGAATGTGTGGGAGAGTATGTGGAAAGACTTGAATCAACCTGTAGAGATCAGGTAGAAGATTTCCATTGAAGTTCTTATATGTGGAAAAATCATACTTTGAAAGGGTGTTGGTTTCTGACTTCACCATTCCAAGCTTCAGTTGCTGTGTGGTCTCTAAACATATTGCTGTCAAGAAATGGAGAGTCTTGAAAATAATTAAGATGTAAACATCAGCAATGAATTGTGATTAGGAGAGCAGAGTGTGCAGCAGTTCTGTATCATTGATCTATACCAGGGTGTCAAACTCGCAGAGTCACAGCAGAGTGATGTATTGGGACTCTCCCCCCCACTTTACTGAACTGGGTGTGGCCAGTGTGTGACGCATCCGGCCTGCAGGCGGGGAGTTAGACAGTCCTGATCTATACAGTACATGTTAAACATGCACAAGATTTTGACACTGAATGCCAGAATTCAAAATTCATGTTTTAATTCTCAGCATCTAATCTTTTTCACATCAATGTTAAAATTTTAAAAGTATATACACTTGTATAGACAAATATTTACATTGCTCCCTTTTAGAAATTCATTAAATTGTGTTCCAGAGCATATGAGGTCATTGTAGACATGCCGGGAGTTGCACTGCAGAGTAAGAACAGCAGCATATACGTTGAATGAGTAAGTGAATGAGTGAATGAGTGAGTGACTTAGTAAGTGACTGAGTAAGTGACTGAGTGACTGAGTGACTGAGTGAGTAGTAAGTAAGTAAGTAAGTAAGTAAGTAAGTAAACACATAAATAAGGTTCTACACCCAGTGGTCATTCTTTTCTCCTCTTTCTTTGGTGGCAGTATTTCTTTGGATGGATATTTACCATTTATTTGTAATCCTTTATTATTTTTATGAACAGCTCAAGGCAGTGAACATATCCTTTCTCCTCCTATTTTCCACACAACAACCCTCAGAGATGAGTTAGGTTCAGAAAGAGTGACTGGCCCCAAGTCATCTAGCCAGCTGTCGTGGCTGGGAAGAGACTCAAATTCATGGTCTCCTGCTCTCTAGCCTGTTGCCTTAACCACTAGAGCCAACTGGTTTTACCAGCAGAAGTGTATTGAAACCAAGAGCTGAGGAATTGGATCTCATTTATGATTACTGTGCGAATAGGAGATAGTAACTAGTCCTAGTGCTTATTTAGTAAACTTTATGACTTAGAGATGATTGCTGAACTATATCAGAGAGATAATAGTTACTTGCATTATATGTAAAGCTGCTCTTCAGAGAAAAACAGTGCTCTGACAAGAAGATCATGTACATAATTGTGGCAACAAAGTTCTCTTTTTTCATTTAAAAACAGGACGACAATGGAAATAGTTTGCGAGAAAGGGCAGGAAAGAGGATATTACGAAGAAGGAAAACAATCATATTCCATCAGTTATGCATTAGCCTGATGAGTTATCTGTCTTTCTATATCTGAACAAAGTTTTTAGAGTGCTATCAGAAGCCCCACCTGAGGATTACTTAGAAAAATGGATGGCCCATGTTAATTCATATGCACCATTCACATTGTTAAGCAAGCTATTCTATATCTTTAAAAATGTTTTGCAATATGTGATGATATTTTATGTAAGACTACTTTAATACACATTTATGTTTCATTGACTTTTTGCTGTTTCTTTTACATATGTAACAGTAGACAAAGACCAGAAGACAGCCATGGTGATAGATCTCTTGGTGCCAAGTGACAGCAACATCAAGAAAAAGGAGTATGAGAAACTGGAGAAGTATCACGGCCTGAAGGAGGAAATAGAGAAGCTGTGGAAAATAAAGGCCAGAATGGTTCCAGTAGTGGTAGGAACACTCGGGACTGTGACTCCTAAGCTGAAATAGTGATTCCAACAGATCCTAGGAACAGCATCAGAGCTCTCTGCCCAGAAGAGGATCTGAGATTGAGGAAGATTGAAGACCAACCATAAAGTTGAGAAGGGAATGTTTTTATATATGCAATTTCTGTTATGGCCATTGTAAATGTCAAAGGGGAAAATAAATGTGCCAGTTTTAATGCCAGTCACCACATTTCTTAACTGATCTCTTTGTTGTCTGAACCTTCCTTTATTTTATTTATTTTTATTTATTTATTTTATTTGGTTTGTCAATTGCTTACAAGATAATAGGTATAAGTAAAAACATAGTTATGAATACATGGATACATATAAAAAAATTAAAAGAAACAATAGGACAGGGATGGTAGGCACATTGGTGTGCTTATGCATGCCCCCTACAGACCTCTTAGGAAAGGGGTGAGGTCAATAGTCTAAGTTTTTGGGGTGTGGGGAAGAAACCACAGAGTCAGGTAGAGTATTCCAGACATTGACCACTCTGTTGCTGAAGTCATATTTCCTGCAATCAAGTTTGGTGTGATTAACCTTGAGTTTGTATCTATTGTTTGCTTTTGTATTGTTATGGTTGAAGCTGATCCATTGCTGTTTACAAATACTGAGCCAAAAAATGTGTTAAAGAGGTTGGCTTTAATAGTGTCATCGTTGCAGTCTTTACCATTAGGTCCTTTCAGGGGTGGGATGGACCTTGAGTTTTTTAGTTTGTTGTTTATGTAGAAAGCGTGGGTGGAATTGGTGTGTAGAAGGTTTTCCTCTTGTTTAATGTGATAATTGGTGCATTCAGTCTTTATCTGGTGGCATAAATTTTTGTATCAGCTTTTGAAGTTGGCAACGTGACCAGATTTGTTTTTCTGCCAGAGTGATCTCTTTTTGGATTGAAGTTTCCTTATTGTTATGGGTAATCTTTTTGGTTTTGTTTTGGGAGTTGTTGTTGGTACATATAGTTTGATGACTCTTTTGACTTCAAGTAAAAATATGTTGTAATGGTCTTCAACAGTATTGCATCCAGTGAATATAGATTGCCAATCAAGGGGTGAGAGATTGTTGTCTATAAGATCATAGTTGCCTTTTTTTAAGATATAATTGGGGATCACATCGTTGTGTTGATTTTTGTGTGGATGTATGTTGAGACAAAAGTCAATCATGCTGTGGTCACTGTTGGAAAAGGGTTCTTTAATTTGTATTCCATAAATTGAATTCAAACCATTGCAGAAGATGAGATCGAGGCAGTTGTTAAGTCTAGTATTGTTGGTTACTAGTTATTCCAGTCCCAGGTTTGTTACAGCATTGTAGAAGGTTGCATGTATGGGTTCATTTTTACATTCGTTTAGGGTCCAGTTAATGTGAGGTAGATTGAAGTCACCAAGAAAGATAAAAGTGTGTGGGCAGGATGTTGCCCATGTTAGTAATGAATTTAGCTTGTTTATATGTTTGATGTCATAATCAGGTGCTCTGTAACATAGTAAGAATCGAAATGTGATATTTAAGGACAGTTCACAGACGATGGTCTCAGGAAGAGCAAGCTCATGGGCAACTTGGATGTTTTTTAGATGTAAGGACTTTTTATAGAAGATAGCAACACCACCTCCTCTACGGATTTCATGATCTAATCGATAAATATGATAGTCTCTTACTGTGGTAATGGAGTCAGGGAGAGATGCATTGAGCCATGTTTCACAGACAAATATGATGTTGAATTTAGCTATATTTAGTAAGAGGAGAAATTCAGGTATTTTATTCGTAAGGCTTCTTGCATTGAGTAGCTTGCATTTAAGGCCAGTTGTAATTGGAATTGAGGTAGTTAGGGGTGTGTGTGCCTAGTTTTGAGTGATGGTGGGTTGGATGAGGTAGGGTTGGATATGGAGTTGTGGGTTGTGTGACTTACTTTTGATACAATCAGCACGGTAGTCAATGTAGAGATCCTTTTCTCCATTGTCTTGACAACCTTTGAGTTCATTGAGGAGTTCATGGGAGCGGATTTTTTGCAGTATGGATAAGTCTGGTCTTGAGTGAAGTTTTTTGTGGTTGGGACTGGTTTTTGCAATGGCATTTATTGTATGAATGAATATGTGTTTGCTGGACTCATTTTTGCAAACAACTCTACAAAACCTTATGGGTTACTTGCAGGGAGGATTTCTTTGAATGAGCTGAGGAATCCCTTTACTTTGGGATCTGTTAACAAGCAAAAGCAGAAGTTTCTTCACAATCTTGGTTTCTGGACAGAATACAGCATTTCAAATAAAAAGAGTTTAATTTGCTATTCATATCTGAATTTTTAACGAGAAAAAAACACCCATGTTCATATTCATGGCCAATTATGTATAGACTGGAAGTGAACTGGAACTGGAAAATAAAAATCAAATATGATAAGGTGATTTGTTTGAATAAATCAAGAATCAAGGTAATAAAAATTTCTAAATTCCATCTGGAAAATATTCCTGCTTACCTCACACTATATACACAAACAGACCAGTTCCCATAAACAGTTAACAATGGCCATACTAGATAAAGTTGATGGGAACTAGACTCCAGTAATATCTTGAAGGACGCATTTGCCATTCCTATCATTAAGGACGAATGGGGCTAGATCAATCAGCAGTCTTGGTATTGGGCAACTTCTTACCTGACAGAGGAAATTTTATAGATACCTATAGGTAGTTCCAATCTAGAACTACCTATATCTGGACCAGGCAGTGGATTTTCAATTGTATCCCTCTGGACTTTAATTTCTGCAATATTATTTAAATATTAGAATAAAGATTTGTCATGGTATAAAAACAGAACGGCTGAAAGTTGAGGTTCTCAAAATGAATATTGCAACCCAGTTAACATTTTAGATCCTGCAGAAATACATACAGCTCCTGGTGTTTTATGATTGAAGGGAATCTAAATGTTTGTGGATATATTCACACCTCTTTTAACACCAAATTCCACTTTGCTCTCTTTTTACAGTGGCTGAAGCTTAATCCTGATCTGCTTGTACATGTTTGTGATCACATCTTTAACTTTATGAAATACACAGTCTCCATCCTACCCCAGTCATTTATTTAAAACCAAGCCTTTTACAGCTTCCAATTTCTTTACTCTGGAGGAAGATCTCTAATGCCAACTTTCAATTTGTAGTTATATAGCTTAAGTAGCATTTGTCCACAATGAAAACATGCATCTGTAGGTCTTTGGAAAGTTACTTTGAATAATGTACTTTGTAAGGAAACTAAAAATGTGTGCAGGCTAAATGAATCTAAATAAATAAATAAGTGGATTTCTTACTTACAGTTTCTATAGTCATAAAAAAGTGGATGAGGACACATAAATTTAATATATAAAAAATTGCTAGTTGAAGGTATGTTACCTGAAGGAAAAACAATTCAGAAACAAATGTAGGCAAATTAAATAGATCTTAATTGTTAGGCCACAAAAGTATGCAATAATATATGTATTTAATGCATATATGCATATAATTTATATATTAATATTTATATAATTACAATACCATATATGAATTAAACACAACATCCTGTTTTGAATTCTCACTTTTTTTCTCCTTAAATAAATTGCAGGTCATCCTTGACTTACAACAGTTCATTTAGTAACCATTCAAAGTTACAGCAGCATTAAAAAAAGCAACTTATGACTGTTTTTCACACTTACCACTAATGCTGCATCCCCACGGCCACATGGTCAAAATTCGGACACTTAGCAACTGGCTCATATTTATGATAGTTGCAGTGTCTTGGGGTCATGTGATCCTTTTTGTGACCTTCTGACAAGCAAAGGCAATGACGAAGCCTGGTTCACTTAACAACCATGTTACTAACTTAAGTGCTATGGTTTACTTAACAACTATGGCAGGAAAGGTCATAAAATAGGGGAAAATTCACATAACAAATATCTTGCTTCGCAACATAAAGTTTTGGCCCGATTTTGGTTTTAAATCAAGGACTATCTGAATTAGGAATGAAGTCATTCATTCCTAATTCAGATAGTAGCATTTTTTTTCTATTCACATACTCTTTATCACTTTATATTTTATTTGCGACATTTCATTTCTCAGAAATATATTGTTTGGCTAAGACTTTTGAATTGTTCTACTGAACTAACATGGCTAAGTGCACCTTGCAGGATCATCTAAGTCATATTTTCTTTTCCTTTTCATCTCTTAAATTCCACCAGAAGAATAAGTTGACAAATACAACAGAATGAGATTACAGGTACAAGAAACAGTCTTTCTGAATACTTTCACATATTAAACAACAAAATAAAGAGTCTATTTGCATAAATGTAGCCCAGCAGGTAGTCTGGCATTGTCTGAGCTTTCTTAGCTGTCTATATCCAGGGAGTGTTAGTTTATTTGGAGGCCATGAAATTTTGAAGTTGTACAATCTGCCTCATTCTATGGAAAGTGAAAATCCAGCCTCATTTTTCCCTCTGAATTTATCTTCTTATTGTGAAGAAGGATTTGGAATTAGGGTACAATCAACACATAGAGAAGAAAGTATGGTTTGGGGTTATATACCTGACTACAAAATCAGACAGGTTTTTGTGATGATAATTATGTACATCTTGGATGGAAACATATAAGTTACATCCGTACAACTTTTATTTTGTGGTTTTTTTGTGAGACAGTGTTGAAACCTGATGAATCTCTGCTTTGTTTAACTATTTTGGACTGTGTTAATATTTTAACAAAAGCAAGAGTATTTGTTTACTTATGCTCGCAAATCTGATTATTATTTCAAAAGGACCGCCTAGAGAAACAATCACATTATCTAGCATTCATAGTTCATTTATACTCTGAATAGATTTGTGTCTCATTTTAGAATACACAGTGGAGAGTTAGTTGTGCTGAGACTACCTAGTGGAGAGTTAGTTATGCTGAGAACTCATTGTGAAATTATTCATTGTGTAGGATTATCTATCATTATTTAATATTACTTACCACAAACTACTGCCCTCACACTAAAATATCTTCTTATCTTTCATAACATTACAACTTTGCTCAACTTGATGCTGCAATATTGTGACACAAACTTTGAACAGACATTCTAAAGGTGTGTGAGAGGGTGTTTTATTCAGATATTTATCCAATTGTATTTATATTCAGGTCTTCCTCTCTTTTTATATTCATGTTGATAAACTTTAAAAATCCATTGTGAGTGGGTG